GCCTTCCGCGAAAGCCATGAAACTGTGCACCTGGGCTGGGTGCTTTTGTGCTTGGGTGCTTGGGTGCTTGGGTGCTTGTGCACCCGCCAGAGAACGTCCGAGATGCTCTGTCAATGCTAATGCAAAAAAGCTATGTCTGCCTCGACACCTCTGCCAACCCTTGAATCCCGAAGTGGAAAAGACGACTGCCAAGAGACTCCAGCCCGGCGCAGCTTGCCACGTATAGAAGCACGATGCACCGCCTGAAAAGCTCGCAACCACCAATTTGGGTTGCAGACACGTCGTGACATCTATAGCCACGGCGAAACTGGGAACGCAGCCTGAAACGTGCAGTCGACCCTACACTCTGACACCGTTTGATGCGACTGCCTGGGCAGAGGGCGGCGGGATGCCCCCTGCCGGCTTCTCCGGCTCCTCGCTTTCAAAACGTGTGGGACCAGAGGGTTGGATCATGGGCAAGAACCGACAAAGAGCTATGGACCTGATCAGAAACACCCTTGCACTGCTTCCTGCATCCTTCGCGCATCTACAGATTATCAAAAATCACTCGAAAACGAAAGCAGGCATTATCAGCTATCAATGGGCTGTGCTACGCCAGCCAAAGCGATAAACAGCAAACGTCGGTCAACAGTCTTTCCAAAGTAGCTTGTATTGGATTAAACCGTCTCACAAGCATCTGGGCATCTAGGATGTTGTTAGTGTTGTTTTTGTGGGTGCTATCATTATTGAACGTGTGGTTGTTGTGGTTATCGGTGCCACAGCCGCTCCAACACCTCCCAAAAACGCAACCGTTCGGAAGACCTGCAACTCAAGAAAGCGATGAGGACTATCGAAACACAACTTCAAGACGGGTGAGGAGTTCACCCCCAACTCCCCGTGGCTGCCCAAGGGTTTCGGAAGCCCGGCACCTCGTCACTGCTGGAGTCGCCTCTGAGCACAGCTTCGGGCACGAGATGCTGGAGGAATACCTCCCTAAGCCGTCATGATACTGAAACACCTGAAAGCATGGAGCGATCAAAGCCCAAATCTGCAAAGAAGCTGGATGACTCCGACGGCGAGGGAGACAGCTTGGTGTCCTGAAGGAGAGATGCCCAAAGTACAGGAGGCCCTTACAATCATGCCATACCCTCCAGTACAAAATTCAGGACCTTCAACGGTCTGCTCTAGACGTGCAAGTCAGTGCAAGTGCCAGGCAATGCTTCAATGCCATTGTAAATTGGGCTTATGTTGAATCCATCGGAAACGTTTGAGTTTGCCTCTAAGCTCCATGCGATTTTCAAGTGCCAGCGACCTGAAGTTCCTGAAGACTAAGATAAGCCCCGTACGCTAGACCGTCCTTCGCAGTCGCAGTCGCCGAGCTTTCCTTTGCCTTCTTCAGTGTAGGAAACAGCGGCCCTCCTGGCTGTAGCAACAGACACAACTGTGTAGGAGGAGAGGCAGCTGCAGCAGCTTTCGTAGCAGGAGGACACGTGCTGTTGCTGCTGCCGCTGCTGTTGTTGTTGTTGTTGCTGCTGTTGTCGTTGTTGCTGCTGTTGTTGTTGTTGTTGCTTCTTTCTGTTTTGCTGCTGCTGTTGCTGCTGCTGCTGCTGGTGGTGGCGGCGGCGGCGGTAGTGGTGGCGTTGTCGTTGTCTGCTGCTGTTGCTGCTGTTGCTGCTGTCGGTGGTGTAGCGGCTGTTAGCATTGTCGTTCTTGTTGTTGCGGTTGCTACTGCTGCTGCTGCTGCTGTTGTTGCTGCTGCCGCTGCCGCTGTTGCTCCTGGTGCTGTGCTGTAGTTGCCATTGCTATTGCTGTCGCTATTGCTATTGTTATGGTTTCATGGTGTTGTTGTTGCTGTTGAAGTTGCAGTTGCAGGTGCAGTTGCAATTGCTGTTACACACAAACTACATCCTCGCACACTGGCACTCATCAAAAAACACAATAAACATAACTAAACAAATCATGTCAAAATTTTCCTGACACAGCAACAGCCACTGACAGTGTTATTGCTGGACGGGGCGGCAACATCAAAGTTTGTCCCAAAGATTTAATGGAAGCGGTAGGTGCTGAGGACGAGGAGGCCGTGATATTACGATGGGGGGACTGTGTTAAACCAGATAAACTGGAAATCAATTGAAAGAGTTGCTGTTGCTTTTGCTGCTGCTGCTGCTGATGCTGCTGCTGCTTCTGCTGGCGCAGGTGCAGGTGCCGGTGCGGGTGCTGCTGCTGATGCTGCTGCTGCTGCTGACGATGATGTTGCTGATGGTGTCGTTTCTGTTGCTGTCCTTGACGTTGTCGTTGTCGTTGTTGTTGTTGCTGCTGCTGCTTTTTGGTTGGTTGGTTCGTCGAAGTGTTGTTGGATGTTGTTTTTGTGTTATTGGCCTTCTTGGCATCTGTTAGTTGTTGCTTGTGCTTGTTTGGTATTATGTGCTGTCATGTTTTGGTTCGGAGCGGGCAGTAGCTAGTACTCCACAGCCATACCGTGGCTCACATCGAGCCCGACAGAGATGGTTGGAAACAACACAACCTGTTCCCAAAAGGTTCTTAGCACTTAAGTCAAAGCTCGAACTCTTACGAAGCTTACTGCCGGTACCTGAGGCCAAGCAGATAGAGGCTCCTGTTGCAAGTCTTCAAAGCCCTTGCATACCCCTTCCAAAAATCCAAGCTTCTTGTTCCTGCCGTTCATGTTGACCTGACAGGCCAGGACTCCCACAACCCAAGCCTGTGACCCCGAGCCGAGTGGGAGTCCAGCACCACAACAAGGGGAGATTCGCAACCGGTGATCCGGCTCTCGGGTAGCATTTATATAATATAATATTATATATTATAGTATAGTATATTACGTTATATGTAACACTGCCATTGTGTTGGCCTTTATCATGACGATAGCTTACGAGTGCTAAGTGCTAGGACTACGACGCTTTCCGCTGACACTGCCTCGCTGGTGATGCTGGTACTCGCCAAGTACCCTGCCCCGAAAAGGGGCTCGTGTTGTACGGTCAGGATTATTGAAACCAGCAAAAGTGAGGCTGCAGGCCACCTAGGACCAACTCAGCTATAGGTGCTTAGACTTACTCGGAAGCGCTAGGGTCGATAAAGGTATTCCAAGCCCTTCGGTCTGGAAAGTTCCACAGGGGAGCTCCGCAAACTGTGTCTAAAGGCTGATTTCACTCACTTCCACTCGAAAATGTTGTCTTCAGGTTTTGGGTTCAGGGCGTTGCATAGGGGGACTCTGCATATATAGCACTGAGCTTGTCGAGTGATTTGCATGCTTTGATATCCTGAATTCGCGGGAGATGAGGCAATACCGTCTGTGGTGCCGTTCTGCTGAAAGCCTCCTGGACCTTGGGCAGCTTAATGGGGGATTTGGGTTTAGGCTTTAGGTGGATGCTAACATAGTATAAATACTTCAAAAACCGTTCAGTAACATACCGTCTGAACCTAAACCGCTGCACTGTAAACCGGCTAATGTAGACGGGGCCCGTCGACTCGCCGACGGGGTACCCCAGTAGCATTCTTTAAACATAGCGGACCCTGCAGTGAAGAAACCGTGCAAGAAAACCTTTCTGAAGCCCTATACTCCCTGTACGGCCTATACGTAAAAGCCTGGTAGAATCCCCAAGACATGCCACAAGGCCCGATAAGAAGAGCTTCTATTCAAACCGTGTACGGACAAGGTACCTCAAACCACTGTACCGCTTTGCTCAACTGAAGGAATCACAGGTGTGAGTGTGAGGGCATCATGCACGCCGCACCTGTTTGTGAGAAAGAAGGAACCGCACGACCTGTCAAACTCCACTATAAGCATTTATGGGTTTGGGTGTATGGCTGCGGGTCTGGAATTTGGGGCTTAAGGCTCATGGGTTTTTGAGCTTTTGAGGCATCGGTTCTAGAATTTCGGGGTGTAGGGTGGAGGATGGAGGCTGTGGTAACTGATCCAGGTGTAGTGCTTGAAGCCTCAACGGCTCTAAGCCCTGTAAAGCCTTAGCCCTTACACGAACTTCAGTTCAGCCGAATGCTGAAGCCCTAACCGTTCAGACTAGAAGTATATAGGGATCTTAGATGGCAAAACAGGGGCTTATTTGGCGTAAACTCTAGTATTGCTAACTCTGATCTTCAGAACCCCAAATCCTGAATCGTACACCCCAAGCCGTACTCACCCCGGCGTGCTGACGACTGGATATCAATGAGAACTCCCATTTACGTTCGATGCATGTGTTCGTGGATTGCAGTTCGCGGGCCTCAACCTTAAACCCTAATCCGCGGCTGTTGAAACTTTTTGGTTGGCAGTTTAGGGCTTGTCCTGTAGCGTGGGGTGAATTGCGAAACAAGGTTGTTTCAGCTGGGGATTTCAAGTTTTTGGACTGCGAGAAGCACAAGGGCTTTAGGTTTCAGTGTTTGCGGCTTCCTCGGCTTGCAGAAGCTGAAATTCAAGCCTCAGGACATCGAGGTGTCGGTCAAAGTGTGAGCTGTGAACTGGAACTAAACCCTCAACCCCAATGTCAATACCACTAAACCCTATCATTTCAGGCACTCGGAACTCTCGAACCCCCCCTTTGTTTCCCAAAAGAAGAATGGGAGCGTGCAGCCCTGATTGAAGCTCTCCCAGTGCCCGCCCATCTATGCGAAACTTTCTAAACCAAAATCCGAAAAAACAACTGCAGTTTAGACTAAAGGTCAAAAGTTTAGGGTTTAGTGCTTGATCCAAAGACAGCTCCTCCAGCTCTGCAGGAGGACCTCCGTTCTTGAGCTCGAGTGGCGCCCTGCCCTAGTAATCACAGGTTCTTCGCCATGCTCGAAGTCGCGTTGACTAGCGCTTAGAGCCCCTTTCCAGGACTGAGCCTAGAAGACCTAGGCCCCAAAACCCAAACCAAAGCCCTGACCCACCTCAGAAGCCCGAAGTGGCCTCTGAAGCTACGCCTTGCTTTCCAAATGCTCACCCTAGACCCTAAAGCATTAAACACTAAATCGGAACCCTACGATCCTAAGCCAGAAACCCTAAATCTCGCCAACACATTCGAACCCTAACTCGTTCTGCCCATCAAAGTCCTCACAGCGGCCTCTACTTGGCCGCTCCGTGCAGCGACGTGCAGCAGCGAGTTGCCGGCCGCGCATCGGACACTGAGCCCGGCCCCCTTAGCGAAGCGCCGGAGCTCGGTGACGTCGCCTGAGTTGAGCTCGGTTTGGGCTCCAGTGACTTCCTGCTGCTACTGCTACGACTACTTACTACTACTACTACTA